CCGATAATGAGTGAATGGATGGACGAAAGGATGAAGCAAACAAGAGTTGGTGCAGAGCAAGCTGCTAAAAACAGCATCTTGGAGATGAGGTCTCAGCTGCATCTCATGCTATGAGTTCTGGTGAGGGATGAGACACAAGTGTGACCCTGCAGAGAGGTCCAACAGGGCTCCTTAACCTTCCTCATGTACCTACATACCCACATGCACCCACAGGCTAGAAAGGGCAATGATATGGTAAAGTGTTCGATGATCGTACCTGGAGGGCCCTAGCCCAGCAAGAGCCAGTGGCCTCAGACAGTCTGGATGAAGAAGTATTTTTCTCTGTGGTCTGCAACAATGTTGTTTCCACAGATAAATGGAACAAACCAAAGAGACATTGTCCTTTGGTCTTGACCACAAAAAGGCATCTTGGTCCCTAGTAGTAAAGAACATAGACACTGTGCGTTGTGGACAAGTGCTCAGTGTATATACTCAGCAGGGACCAGGAAGTTTAAAGTCTCTCTAGCCCTCTGAGGACCCAATCCACCTTCCTTCCCTGTGCCCTTAGAGCCTTAGAAACAAAATGCCCTCCACAAGAAGCATGTGAAGACAGCACCAGCTGTCTTGATAGGATGCCTGGTTTCATGGGACCACAGTCCCTCTGAATATACAAGTAAAACTAGGTAGCCACTAAAGTTCCTTTTTATTTGGAAAAAAAGAAGGAAAAGAGATTAGCCACAAACAGTGCTCTTACACACCAATTATAGTGGTGCATACCTATAAAGCCAACACTGAGGAGGTTGAAGCCAAACATGGGCTACATAAGTGAGTTCCAAACAAGGCTGACAGATACAGTAAGATCCTGTATCAAAAACAAACAGGGGCCAGCAAGATGTCTCAGAGAGTAAAGGTGCGGGCTGCAAAGTCTGACTACCTGAGTTGGACCCCTGGAACCCACATGGTGGAAGGAAAGAACTGACTGCCACAAGTTGTCTTCTGATTCCGTACATGCTCACACACATACATAATAAATAGATAAAAAATAAATAAATAAATAAATGTTAAAACCATCACCAAAACATATAGAGCCTCCACAAGCAACATTGATCTATCTACCAACCCTTCAAAGAAGGTGTTATTTACCTTGAATTCAGAAGTGGCACAGCCTAAGTCCATTATTCATTGCAGTATATCCTGTGAATAACTACCATTCCATCCCAGTCAGTCTCGGGTGGAACCTATTGCCAGTGTTTTCTTGAGTACCTGGGTTGTTCATCCTTAAACATGGATGGAGAACGACCACATTGGAAGTTAAACTGAAAAAACTTGCTGATGCCACTTTCCTCCCACCCACCCCCACTGCACATATAGAAACGTCCTCTCACCCACATTCTTCCTATCCTCTTGCCACAAGAGACAGTGTTGTTGGGCTAGCCTGAAGATTTAGCTCCATCGGTTTCTTAAGCCATGTTCGAGAAGAAGTCGGTACTTAGGCTTCCTGAGAAAGTGAAGTGCTACAAGAGCTGTGACTGGGGGGCTGTTTATCATCACTGTCCCAGGAACTTGTGAGTGGAGGGGGGAAACTGCTGTGCTTGTGTTGGCTCCCCCAGACAGAATGCTGGAATTCTCAGGAAGCTCATCTAAACTTTCCATAAATATTTTTCCCAAAATGACAAACATTTCTTGGGTAGTTGTTCTGTCCTCTCCTGCCCTGCTTTCTGACTTTATATTTCAGTCTGGTACAGTACGTATGGTGGCTCTCATGTAGGAGAGGAAGTATGCAATAAAGTTCAAGGGGTTGGGGCCAAGAGCTAGCCCAGAACAAGGAGCATGGGCCATAGGCTAGCCCAATGCAAATGTCAAAAAGACATTCTGTGGACAAGAATAAAGTTAAGATCAAGGGGTAGTAGGCAGTGGGTCAGCCCAAGGTCAAGAGGATGAGCCAAGAGTTGGCACAGGGCTTGCACCTCTCCACTACTAAGATCAAGGGGTAGTAGGCAGTGGGTCAGCCCAAGGTAAAGGTCAAGAGGATGAGCCAAGAGTTGGCACAGGGCTTGCACCTCTCCACTAGCTCTCACACACAACCATGAAACTTCACTTGCCCCTGGTAAGTGCTGGTGCTGTCATCTGTAACAAATGGTTAGTAATACAGCCCTCGGGAGATTGATGTTCAGGGCTTACATTATGATTTGCAAAATGTCTTGAAACACCATGGTATTCACTGTTTAAACATCCTCCCCAACAGAGATCAGAGTTCATGTAAATTCAGAACATTTTGTGAGGAAGTGTAGACAGTTGCTCTCTTTAATCTTAAATTTAAAAATTAGAAAAACATCTTCATTTTCCCCCATTATCTCATAATTCCAGTTTTACTCAGTTATGAACTTTTGAAGTCATGTTCACACAGATCTTATCTCACTCTGGTGTAAAAGTTTCTTATGAGAGTAGCAAACAAGTATGACAAATTTTCATGTTACAGAAGCCAGGTCAGAAGCTCAGAGAGGTTAACATGACTTCCTGGGGGCACACACCAGCATCAGAGCCTAGGTTTCCTGTAACTGATCCAGTAGCGCTTTCAAGGCCTTCTTCAGAGGCATTGAGCCTGCCCATCTTTTCCCTCCTCCCTCTGTTCTTCAGTCACAGACTCCTATACAACAAGCACATTCAACCCGTTACTGTCTAGCCACCTCCACATGCCCTATGCACCCACAAAACAATCTTGGAGTTTTCCTCTCAGTGCTTATGGTTACAGAGATTTTCTCAGGCTTGGGTATTCATTAGAATCAAGACCTCTTTAATAGATTAGAGCCCCACCCAAGGCCTCCTTAATCATATATCTACTTGTTTTTAAGTTCCCCAGGTGATTCTGACTCCCAGAATCTCCCTTACCACTGTGTCAACTCTATAATGGAGGGACCGGATCTATTTTCCTCATCATCAGGGCTCTGGCACTTTGGACAGTATCTGAGAATGCTATTAAATAATACATCATTGTCGATAACATTTACTGAGTGTTACCTCTCTGCCAGGCACTGTGGTAAGAAGTTCACATGCTTTTACTTCAGTTAATTCTGCCAGTCATCCTGCACGGAAGGCGCTATGATTTCTCCCACTTAAAAGAAGAGGATCTAAGGCTGGGAAAGGACTGGGAAAACAAAGTAATGATGTCAGTGACCACTACCCTTACTGCTCTGTTTCCTAGTCAATCTCCTGATGGTAAATAGAACTCCAAAACCAGGGAGTATGCACACCCCAATGGGGAGCCAGAAGAAACCACTTTCAGGCAGGTTTGGCACTGTCTCTAGAAAGTAGAACGGGGCAGCAGAGTCATGGAAGCTCATGGTGTTCAGCCAACCTCATCCCAAAACAGTTACCAAGTCCCACAAATAGTATAGTTTAGTTGCTGAATCACCACTGTCTGAATTCCTCCTGAATGGTCTAATACATGGTGTTCAGCCAACCTCGTCCCAAAACAGTTACCAAGTCCCACAAGTAGCATAGTTTAGTTGCTGAATCACCACTGTCTGAATTCCTCCTGAATGGTCTAATCATGTTTTTTTCAATTAAAATAACTTTGGCTAAAAGTAACACAATTAATATGGCTGAAAGAGCAAGATTTCTGTCACCTGAGAAATCCTGGAGCTGGTAGACCAAGGTTGGTTCCTTTGACTGGCTCGTCAAGTCTGCCAAGCTTCTCTTTCCTCTCTGCTAGTTTCTCACTGTTGACCATACTTTTCTTTGTTGTCCCAGGGTGGACAGCAGCTCTGAGCAGTAATTCACTTCCTGTGAAGACATCAGCGGGCAGGAAGGGAAGAGCAAAGTCTCCTAGGTCCCTCTCTCCATTTGTAGAGGAGAGACTCTTCCCAGGAAGTCACATGGTCAAATTCCTTTTCTCCTACAAATAGGTCACACAGCCTTGGCTAGCTTAGCCCAGGTCTAGGAAAGCAAGAAATGAGCATGATGCTTCCAACTCTCCCAAAAGAGATTGAATTTTCGAGGAACAAAACATAAAGAAAGGAATGGTCACTGCTTAGACAACTAGTAGAACCTGCCTCAGCTGTTCCCCCTTTACTCACGATGTAGCCCTCCTTCAGAATTTTACATTTTTAAAATTATTATTGGGGGACACACACATGCCGTGGCATGTGTATGACACTCGGAGGACTATTTTGTGGAATTGGCTCTATTCTTCCACCTTCACGTGGGTTCTGGGAATCAAACTCAGGTGGTCAGGCTTGAGTAGCAAGCACGTTCACTGGCTGATCTATCTCTCTGGCCCCAGAATATTTTTAAAAGAACTGGTCCGTTGACATCAATGCTGTTGAAGAAAGGGATACATCAGTTCCAGGATCTAGATGTCTACATCACAGAAAGGAAGGATTTGGAGACAAGAAATTTTTCTTTGCTTTTTTCTGATTGAGACATGTTTATACATTTCTGTGGGGTTCATGATGACAATCAGATACATGTATGCAATGTCTGATAAGAAGGATAATCATCCGATTTCTTCAGTCATTTTTATATGTTGAGAATTTTATGGTCTTTTAGGCATTTTGATGTATATCATAGATTGTACTAACCAATAATTACAGTCTGTGCTATACAAAAGTCAGAAGGTATCGCTCCACTCTGGCTGGATTCTAGTGCCCCTGACTGAACTTTTTCCATGCCCTTCCCCTCACTTCCTTGTCTCTGGTAATCGCCATTCCACTCTGTTCTTCAGGATCAACATTTTTAGTTTCCACAAATTAGTGAGTGCGGGTGGTATTTATCTTTCTATATCTAGCTTATTTCCCTTAACACAATGCCCTCCAGCTGCACCCACACCCATACTGCCACAAATAACAGGATTTCATGCTTTAATGTCTGAATAATATTCCACTGTATGTGTATACCACATTTTCTTTATTCATTCACCCACTGATGAGCATCCACAATGATTACATTTTAGCACTTGTAAATATTGCTATTAGCAATACAGACTTTCGACAATGGCTAATGCTGTCCTCTTCCATTTCCAGGTCAACAGCGATCTTATTTACATTACAGCTAAGAAAGATGGCACTCATGTAGTAGAATCTGTGGATACCACCCACATTGGAAAACTGATTGTGACCAAGCAAATTGGAGGAGATGGCATGGAGGATATCACTGATACTTACAAGTTCCAAGAAGGTAAGTCACCACAACCAAGTGAACATTTTCCCAATTCCATGAAGTATTTTTGCACTGTCAAGCTGAAATATGTTCCAGTGAACACCCTGGCCTTTGCAGCAACTGGTAGTCAAGGCAGAAGCATAAACTCACCAGCAACAGACACCCACAGATTTTCATTATTTTGTTTGCTTGCTTGCTTTGAACAGAATTCCCCTTCACATGGCTTATGAAGTGATTTTGTTTAAAATTCTATTTTAACAGAATACAGAACATACTCTTGCTCAAAAAAATTTAATGTAAAGTAGCTCTGTTAGAAGTCACTCTATGAGCCACATCAATGTAGTTCAACAAGAAATATTTAAGTCATTACTTCCCATTTGTTGAGTACTTTACAAATATAAAAATTAGGTTTATTTATTTTATTTCGTGGCTATGAATGTTTTGCTTACATGAATGTATATGTACCATGTAAGTGTCTAGTGCCCACAGAGGCCAAATGAGGGTATTGGATCCCCTGGAACTAGAGTTACAGGTGACTTTGAGCTACCACGTGGGTGCTCAGAATAAAACCAAGGTCTTCTGCAAAAGCAGCCAGTGCTCTTCACCACTGAGCAATCTCTTCGGCCCGTTATAAATTATTTTTAACACATTGTCCACTTGTGTTGTCATGGAAACCCTGTGGTATATAGAATAGATAAATGAATAATCTCACTAATTCAGACCCATTAGGTTGAAGGCCAGTTTCAATCATGAAATGATGTTATGATGGGATTTTGTTAACTTTTATTGTATGGTATGCTTCAAATGGTGCTAATGATACTGAGTGTCTCTGTGATCCTAAGAGCCAAGAGGACACAGTTTCTGTCCCCAGACCAGAGATAGACTCATTATACAGAGAAGGCTATGGGAAAAGAGAAACACTGGGTCCCATCAGGAGAGTCAGAAGGAGTGAAGCTCTGCGTGAGACCTTGTGTAAAGAGAGCTGCACAGAGGGTTCTAGGCAGTGGAACGGTAGACAAAGGAGGGAAGTGTGAAGCATATCTGGATGTTTAGGGTCCTGCAGGACCTGACGTCATCCCATCAGGCTTAGAGTGCTTATTTCCTAGAGTGGAAGCTGCCCAGGGTCAGTACCAGCCAGGGGAGGATGCAGGCTGTCTCGAGAGCAGAAAGGCAGAATATACTTTGTAAATGGCTCATATCCAGAGATTCTTAAGGGTGGCATTTATTTTAGTGAATGGATAAAAATTATGACTAATTAGCATACACTAAATATTCATTGGTATTCCTGAAGTGCTAACGTGTACAGGGTTTATTTTAACTGTTTTATACAGCCTCTTTGCTCTTATTTACAAAAGAAATTTACACTATAAAGAAAGAGCCTGCTGAACTGAGAAAAGTGTACAGTGTTGAAGTTCAGGAGTTTCATCATCTGAACTAGTGAATTTTTACTGTTTTTCTGAAATGGTTCAGTCTCTTCATTTGGCTGTCATCCACTGCACAACATAGATACACAAAAAGACTTTCCCCCCTTTTTGTTTTTTCTGTAGAAGGAAAGTTAAAAACAACATAAGCACAATAAAACCAAACAAGCAAGAAATGCCTTCTCCTGACAGAGTTACAAACAAAAAGATTTGGAAATGGAAAAGGGAAACACCTTGGAAAATGTGGAAGGAATGCTGTGACCACCACAGGCGCTCAATGGCCTGCTCTTAACTGTGCCACATCCCCTCCTAGAACTGAGGACACGCACAGCCCTGCCTTCTGTTTCCCTGTGACAGAAAGCAGAATCCAGATGTTACTGTGCTGTGGGGGAGTTGCTTTGACACAGGGTGGCCAGATGCGCCAGGCACAGAGGATGCCCAACCAGAGAAGTCCCTGTAATATTCACAGTATTCAGGTCATAGACCTGAGGCTGGACTTACACATCACTCTCTGAGTAGTTGATGGAGCAACTCATTTGGTCCCATTCTATGGATTGTTTGATCCCAAAATGGCGTGATGTAATGTATCCACTTGTTCAGCACATTGAACCCTGGGTCAGGGCTGAGGCTGAGGCTCAGTGGTAGAGCCTAGCCTGTGCAGGGAGGGCCTTGGTTCAATTCCCAGCACTGCCAAAACCCGAAGTCCGATGGGTAAATAGGAATTTGCAGATGATGCTGGGGAAAGAATTCTTTAGGAAAAGGTACACGGCAGAATTGCAATGTGAGGTCCCTTTTTTTGTCTACTAATCAGACAGTAGACAGTGCTGTGAGCTTCTAGGCAGCTGTGAGCAACCATGGCACCAGATGCTTGAAAAACTACAGGAAAAAATAGCAGAAAAACTACAGAAAAGAGATAAAAGCATGCAACAGAACACAGCTACCATTGACTGTCAGCCTCAGAAGTGACTGTGAAAACCAACTAGGAGCAGGGCAGGGTTAGATGCCGAGAGAGGAAGACATGCACCAGTCTTGAAAGACCTAGGGAGATTTGCTTCTGGTATGTTCCTTTTCTGTTCATTCCTGGCTGACTGTGCCTTGAACTCCGCTACCAGAACATCCTTGATACTGTTCTCAAGTCTGCTTCCTTGACCTGCAATACATGTTTTCTGGTACCATCTTGCTTGAACTTCCTACCTGCCTGATGTTGTTCACCTCTCTTTCTTGTTTCTGTAATAGAACTTCTCACAGTCATCTCCACCTAACCCCCTTTATTCTTTTCTGTCTCCTTCTGCAACACTGGGCTTACCATCTCCACTTCTTTCTGAATGCCACTTGATTCTCATCTGCCCTCTGTGAGCTCCATCCCTACCTCTCTGTTCTCCCTGGATCACTTCTATTGACCCTCATCTATGTAGTGATCACTCCAGGGTCTGTCTCTCAGCCTGGACCTTCCTTACCTGAGTGTGCCATAGAAACCTGAAGCCAAATCTTTCCAAATACTACTATCTTTCCCTCCCCTCCCCTGCCCTGTGCATTCATCCTACACTCTACCCTACTGAAGACAACCTCTACACACCGAATTTAGCCACTTGAGAATTGGTCAGGTGGCACGTCTCCTCTGAAACAGCCTCAGGTGCACCCTCCTCTCTGGTTCCATAGTTGTGCTCTGAGAATTCAGTAGAATCCTGTGTATGAAACCCTTAATACAGAGCTTGACACATGATAAGGGACCAGTAAAAGTTCATTTTCCCTTCTGCCAGTAAGCTGTTGCTGTCACAGTATTCTAAGTTGTTTTGGCTATGGTTGATTTTGCCTGGAAAAATATCAGTCTAGCTTTCCCATGCCACCTCCCCTCTCCTCAGTGTAAGCTTGCCTCTCTGCCAAAGTGGTACTCCCTGGCATGGAAACATGAGCCTGTCATAACACTGCAAACAGCCTATTATCTTGCCATTCCCCCAGAGCTTCCAGTCAGAACCACAGGGTCATACTGGCTGGTTTTATGATCACCTTGCTATACCTCCTGACCATGCCTACAACTGCCACACGCAGCAGTCAGATGAGTTGCTGATGCTTCCTCCAGCAAGCCAAGTTCTTGCATGCCTCCCCGTCTTTGCTCACTGTGTAGAAAGGAAGCCCTCCAAGAAGGCTCCTGTACTACCTAGGCAAGCTAAGGGTCTCTCCCACATGTCCCCAGGCCCATAGGCCAACATCTGTCTCAGGGTTTGTGATACCCAATTCCATGATGGCTTTTCACTTCTCCTTTCTGTACCCATGAGTGACTGACTATTTCTCAGTAGTGCCTAGCACAATGTCTCGGGGACAAAGGGATTTCCAGAGTTGTGACACGACCAAATGGGTGGGCACAGAGATGTTGCTAGCAGGTGGGCTAACCTGGACTGGTTGGTAGTTGTTACAGAGATGAAAGTTCTGCCTCATGCTGAAAGCAGAATGTGTCTGCCTGCTTCCCTCTTCCAGAACCTCTGTGGCAGCCACACTCCAAATCTTAGAGATATAGAGCTGGACAAGACAGATGACTGCTCGACCCTCCTAGAGCCTATGTCCCAGCAGAGAAGCTAACATCACACAGGAAGAGTTTTGAGATGGAGGAAAAAGAAAGAAAACCAGATATATGTTAGTGAGAGATGGGAAGGCTGGAGTCTGGGGATAGATTATACAAAAGAAAGAGGAATTCTGGGGAGGTCATGTAGGGACTAAGACCAGGACAGTGAGAAGATGCTTCATCCCACTAAGACAGTGAAAAGATGCTTCATCCCACTAAGAAGGCTACTTACATCCTAGTTCACAGGAAAGTGTTTTCTTACCTTCTGAAAAACACAGAGATGTCTCAGAACACACAATCTGGCTTTAGAGAATCTCTTGTTGCTACCCTACCTCGTTTAAGATACTGGAACACGTCATGACTGCTGAAAAGCAGGAAGTTCTCTGTTAGGCTCCAGGAAGCCTTGCAGTTCTCTCCCATCTGGGACTGCACTGCCTATAACAGCCCCCACCAGTCTGTGCCTGGCACTGCCCTGCTCCTGGGGGCAGGTGCTTCCCAGAAGGAGGCTGAAGGTTGTACGAACCAGGGTAGGTGCTCAAGTTGCTCAGAGCTCCACACGAGCCTCTCTCTGCCCTTCCTCTCCCCTGGGCCAGCTCAGCTCCTTTCTCCCAAGGCAGCCCCTCCCTCTTGTCCTGCTCCTGCTGCTCCAATGAGCTTCCTGCATTTTGCCTAAATGTCCATCTGGCCCCTATCCAAAGTGGTAGTTGTTAATGCCTTCTTTCTCGTGGCCCTGTTTGGCAGATTACCTCTTTTCTGCACTCTCACAGCTGTGCTCTCTCTCCTTCCCATCCCAATCTTCTGCCTGTTGCTCTGTAAACATGTGTCCAAGCCAATTCTGGTCCTAGACCAATTGTTTCTAGCACATCCTTGCAGTCTTAACAGAGAAGGTGTTAAGCCCACCTGCAAATGTGCGTGCGTGTGCACACGCAGACACACACACACACACACACACACACACACACATACACACACGCAGTATGTTTATATGCAACACCTGCTGGCATTTTCTCTGCCCTTCCAACTATCTTCCATTCACAATTCACCTATTCCCTATGGTCAGCCTCACAGCCCTGTGACGTATGTGCCCATATTTCACAAATGAGGAATCTGATATTCTTAGTGCCTAGCTTGTAGAGTCGGTATGAAGCTCAGCGGGGCCACTGCACACCAAGCTTGCATCCCAAAGCCTGCCACATAATTAGCACTTAGTGATAGTCAATGGGATCAGTTGGTTGCCTCACCATCATCAAAGCCAATTGTTAATTATGTACCTAATTAATTTTTGGTAAAGTAGAAGACAGTATCTTAAAATTAATGTAATAAGAAAAACCAACCTTCTTAAAGTGTTTTTTTTCCACCAGCCATTTTCATAACTAGTTTTTGATTAATTATTTTTGATTTTATGTGTATGAGTGTTTGGCCTGCATGTATATAAATGCACCGCATGTGTGCAATGCCCATGGAGGCCACAAGTGGATGTTGGATCCCTTGGAATTGGAATTATGGACAGTTGTTAGCCACCATGTAGGCAGAACGGAACCTGGGTCCTCTGCAAGAGCAATCAGTGCTCTTAGCCACTGAGCCATCTCTTATCTCAAAACTAGTTTTCATAAGCCAGGGAATCTGCCTTCATCTTTTCATCTCTGTCCTCCACCATGAATGAAGCTATATAAAAAGACGCTTAGGATAGAAAACAGAATGGCCACCCACCTTCTGCACTTCCACCAGCAAGCCTATCCCCAAATCCAAATGCTTTATCCAAATTCTTCAAACTGCCAGTGCAGTTAGCCGGGGTCTGAGCAAAAGCCATCCAAGGCCTTACTTCTTAGATCGCTCTTTCCTGCTTCCTCACCTGCTCATGCTATTATTTCTCTCTCTCTCTCTCTCTCTCTCTCTCTCTCTCTCTCTCTCTCTCTCTCTTTCAGTTCTGGGGATGGAATTCAAGACCTTGTTCATGTTAGATAAGTGTTCTACCACTTAGCTGCATCTCCATCCTCTTTTTGAGGCAAGGTCTCACTACCCAGGCTAACCTTGAACTCACCATCCTCCTGCCTCAGCCTCTCAGTCTCTGAGACCACAGATGCATACCACCACGCTTGGCTCTTCCTCCTCCTACTTCTTGTTTTCCTCTACCTTTTCTTCCTCCTTCTCCTCTTCCTCCCCCAAGAAACCCCTATCTCTTTGTCACCCTCCCTCTTCTCTACCACAGCCCCTTCAGAAATTCTCTACAAGACACTTTGCTCAAAGAGCACTTACACCTCAGACTATGTTAGAACAGAGAGACATTCCAATAAATGCCCCTCTGACACCAGTCAGAGGCAACTGGGAGATCCTGTGGTAACAGAAGCTGTAAGGCCTCCCCTTCAGCACCTCTGTTAGACTCAGGAAGACTCAGGACCTTCAGCAAGTTCTAAATAACTCAAGGCTCCTCCAGAGCTCTGACCCAGGAGGCATTGGACAGGGAAGCTTAACAGTATGCCAGAGTCTAGTGTTGTGGGGCAGTATACCATTTGGAGCTGGTGCCTACTGCAGGAGGTAGAGAAGGGCATGGAAGGAATCCAGGGTCAGCACAGAAAGTAGAAAGTGGAAGAGATTGACTCAAAGGGGGAATGAGAAGAACCTGAGGTAAGGAACTCCACTGGTCATAGGAAATAGCTGTGGCAGGAGGCAGATGGCAAGTATATACTATCTCCAGAATCTTTGCTCAGAGAACCCCAAATCTTACCTTCCTGACTGGGACATGATGAGGGAAGCAAATTGGCACCCCGGGTTAAGAAAGCTATTAGTGTTTGCATTTGTACCTCCTGAATGCTGAAATAACGGCTAGAAAATGTGTTCCTTGGAGCAAGCCCCTTAGAAACCCTCATACAGACAGAACTTTAGCCCAGTCACCAGTTGGTCTGTCAGTCTGGATGGGCTACTTCCTATCTGGGAATGTGGCTTTGCAGAATTCATCACAATGATAGTAATTCAACCTGCAGCAGCCTTCAGCAACAGTGTTTTTGAGGTCCGTGTCTCCTTCCCTGTCATTACCTGTATATCTCTCTTAGGTCAAGAGGAAGAAAGACTGGCCCTCGAAACAGCTCTGATGTACGGAGCCAAAAAGGCTGTCAACACAGAAGGTGTTGTCAAATCCAGGTCTGACGTAGACATGAACTTTGAAGTGGAAAATGCTGTGCTGGGAAAAGACTTCAAGGTCACCATCACTTTCCAGAACAACAGCTCCAATCGTTACACCATCTCAGCCTATCTTTCAGGCAACATCACCTTCTACACTGGGGTCTCCAAGACAGAATTCAAGAATGAGGCATTTGAAGTAACGCTGGAGCCCTTGTCCTGTAAGTTACTAGATACATGGGTCTCTCTAGGACTTGCTTCTCTGTCACAGGGACAACAGCTAATCCTAGCTGTCTGTCAGTTCAGGTTCTTGCCAGAGTTCAGTAGTGGGAACCACCTGGGGTGAATTGACCTGTTCTAGAAAATCCTCAGTCCTTCCATCTTTATGTCTCATGCATAGAAGTAAACACAGAATCCTCAAAGCCTAGAGCCCTTAAGTCATGAGAATTAAATGGAAACTCACTCCTTGTTACACGGTGTGGTCTGTGGACCTGCAGCATCAGCCTACCAGAGTCTCAGGCCCCACCCAGACCTCCTAACTCAGAATGTGCATTTGAGATCTGACCTTGCCACATGGGCTGTTTTTCTTTTGTTGTTTTCCCATGCTGGGAATGGAACCAAGGTTATGGAGGATACTGAGCAAGCACTTTCCCTCTGACCTCCATCTGCAGTCCTGAAGTGTACTGAGCAAGCACTCTCCCACAGGACTCCATCTACAGTCCTGAAGTGTACTAAGCAAGCACTCTCCCACAGGACTCCATCTACAGTCCTGAAGTGTACTAAGCAAGCACTCTCCCACTGGACTCCATCTACAGTCCCAGGCTATTTATTTTTCATTTATTTCCTTCCTTCCTTCCTTCCTTCCTTCCTTCCTTCCTTCCTTCCTTCCTTCCTTCCTTCCTCTTTCATGTGTGTGTTTTTATGGTGTGTGTGTGCTTGTATGCATGTTCACATGTGCATGAGTGTACATGCATGTGTGCAGTGCATTTATATATGCATGTGTGCATGTTCACATGTGTATGCATGTGAACACATGCATGAGTGCACATGCACATGTGTGCATGTATTCATGTTCACCTGTGTGTGAGTGCACATATGTGGTGTGTGTATGAATGCGTGTTCACATGTGTGTGAATGTATGCATGTGCATGGTGTGGTATGTGTCTGCATATTCACATATGTGAGCACACATGCACATGTGGTGTGTGAATGTATGCATGCTCATGTGTGTGAGTGTACATGTGAGGTGTGTGTGTGCATGTATGCATGTTCACATTGAGTATGTGCATGCATGTGTATGTCCATGCAGAAGCCAGAAGGTGACTTCAGGTGTCTTCCTTGACTGCTCCCACTTTATATACTGAGGTAGGGTCTCTTCCTGACCCCAGAGCTTGCCAAGTCTGCCTAGTCTAGGTAGCCCTGGGATCCCCTGTATCTGCCTCTGGAGTGCTGGAATGGCAAGCAGCCACCACACCTGCCTAACTTGTGCATGGCTGCTATAGATCTGAACTGTAGTCCTCATGCTATGTGGCAAGTGCTTTATCCACTGAGCCATCTCCCCAGCTACCCCACACACATATGCAAGCTATTTCTTCAAACTAATCAGCCTAGTGTCCAGGGAGAATTACTGAGAGAGGAAGCCTGGGACACAGAATGTGCAGTTCCACAGCCTGGAAAGGGCCATCTCTCATGGGGCTTCTTTCTAACCCTTCATTCTTTTCAGCCTCCCTTGATTACATCTTTCTGAACATTTTCCTCACTATAAGAATTCAGAATATTTTAAGCAAAGCAGGACTGATGTGCTGCAGCCTGCCCTGGAGATGGCAACATTGAGAGGTCTCGTTTTCCCTGGCATGCCACTATTGAGTGGTGACAGTATTCAGTCACAAGATGGACACAAAGAATCAACAGGGAGAGCTTCTGTAGGGAGATGTGTTCAAGAAAACTGGAAACACTTGACAGTTTAGGGCACTGGATATCTATTGATATGACACTTGGTACTGAAAAGAAAAGAAGAGAAAAAAGAAAAGAGGGAAAAGAACAGAAGTAATTTTCATAAAGCAGTGACAACAAGATCCATGACCCCCCAACACACACACACACACACACACATTGATATCCAGTGACAAGATCAATGACCCCCCAACACACACATACACACACACACATCGATATCCAGTGACAAGATCAATGACCATGACCCCCCCAACACACACACACACACACACATACACACACACATCGATACCCAGTGACAAGATCAATGACCCCCCAACACACACACACACATCGATATTCAGTGACAAGATCAATGACCCCCCAACACATACACACACACACACACACACACACACACACACATCGATATCCAGTGACAAGATCAATGATCCCCCCAACACACACACACACACACACACACACACACACACACACACCACATTGATATCCAAATCACACATTATTTTATTTTCAAGCTCCCTAGATTCTGTGGCTATCTACGCCCCTGGCAGCCTCTAAGAAGCGTTCCCAGAAAAATGGAGAACTATTCCTGAAAATTCTAATTCCAAGAAACCAGAACCGAAGGAAGCGAACATCCCTTGCTTCAGCAATATAGCTAACAGTTAAGAAATCACCATGGTATTTTCTTTGGAAACTAGAAGACGTTTTTTGTTTTTCTTTGTTTTTTTTTTTTTTTTTTTTTTTTTCCCATACTTAGCACAATGTCCTCTAATTTCCTTCATTTTGCAGCAAATGGTAAGATCTCAGTTTTCAGTTGGCTGTCATTTTCAGGACGTAATATTCTGCTTCCTTAATCATTTGTGTATTAGCTGATACCAAGTTCTGGCCTTTGTGTATCAGCTGATACCAAGTTCTGGCCATTTCGTTGGTTGTGTGAATAATGTTGACATAAGTAAATACAGACATGTTTGCAGGACGATCGTTTTATGGGGGGGGGCACACAGAAGCAGGATTACGTGGTTGGTCCTATGACAGTTCAACTTTTTAATTTCTTCAGAAACTTCCACACGTGTTCCAATAACAGCTGTGCCAATTTATTTTCTCATTCACATTTATTAAAGAATCTAGCCAGAAAAAAAAAATGTTCTCAAAATTTCTGAGTTTGTGCAGTGGGAGTGTACTTCACTGCAAGGAAATCAAGAGGCTTCCTCAGGCTTGTCTTTGAGCAGATGTGCCATTTACATGCCACAAGTGCAGCAATTTCATAATAAAATTTAAAAAACCCCATGGTTTTTTTTTTTGAAACTAGAAGACGTTTTTTTTTTTTCTTTTTTTTTTTTTTTTTTTTTTTCATCCCAAGGGGGAGGCAAGGCTTCTCACAGAAAAGAATAGTCAGTGTGAAGGACTGGAGAGGAAACAATTCTCAAGCTTGTTTGGAGCAGGCAGGCATGTTTGATTTCAGAGAATGTGGGCCAGGGAAATAGACAAATCCAGATATAAGGTGTGACTGTGTCACCTCTAAGTGTATTCCTGGGTAGACTGCTTGATTGATTTGGGCTCTGGGAGTGATACCACCCACACTACAGGATTGTCAGCACATCCCCTACAAGGCTAGGCTCTGATATGTGCTGGACACGGAACAGCGCACATCTTTATGGAGTTTCTGGTCTCTTGGAAGAACCAGGCAATATACAACCAAGCAAGTGGGTGCATAGCCCGGTTATATGTGTAACAGGAAAACGTGAAGGTTAAGGCGGGGGGGAAGTGTGCTAACCCCGTGGGTACCATGGCCACACACAAAATATAAATACTATCTAATAGGGTGACATTAAACAGACCAAACAGAGGACATCTGACCAGAAGCAACCACGGGGCCAGACATTATTTAATATGCTCAATGAGAATCAAGGGGACGGATCTCATTTGGATGGTTTGTCTGCCAAAGATTCATGCTCTAGAAGCTTTGTCATCAGTGTGCTGACAGGCAGAGAGGGTGAAGCCTTTATGAAGTGGAGTATTGTGGAAAGTAATTAGGATATGGGGGTGGAATTGCCCATGGTAGGACTCTGTACTAATCTGTGGAGTGACTCAGTTCCTAGGAGAGCAGCTTGCTGTAAAGCAAGGCCATTATGCAAACTGGGCCCCCTCTGCATAATGCTAGCTCCATATTGTTTGACTCCTCCAGCCACCAATATTATGAGACAACTAAACCTATGTTCTTTATGAATTATTCAGCCTCTGGTATTCTGTTACAGCAACAACAAAGCACTCTCAAAGAAGAGCAAAAGTGACTGTAAAAAGGGCTGAATGTGTATTGTTTCATGAATGTCAGCCCTTGTGTGAATTTTTGCCTTATTGCCAATGAGCTAATGGGATCATTACAGGGTTTTAAGCATAACCTAACAGGTTTTGATGAAATTGGGTGCATTTAGGGTGCTATGGCCATAGGCTAACTTAGATTTTGCAAAAGCACACTGAGGCCAGTGAGAATGGCTTCGTGGGTAAGAGCACATGCCATCAAGCCTGGAAACCTGAGTTTGATTCCCCACACAGTGGGAGGAGAGAACCAATTCCTCTAAGTTGTCTTCTGACCTCTACTTCTACACCATGACATGTACATGTATACACACACACACACACACACACACACACACACCACTAATAATTTTAAAAAATTAAAGAAAAAGAAGATCATACTAGGTGCTGGTCACTTGGCTGAGCAGAGACTGAGGAAGCAAGGCTGAGACTCAGAGACCAGTTAGGATGCTACAGTGATCATTTATCTGAAAGGCGGTGATAGTGTTAGAGGTGAATGACAACTAGTCAGATCTGGATGCATTCTGAAGGTATAGCCCACCTGATTTGCCTGTGCATGTGAAAGGAGGATGTGGAGGAAACTCAATGAAATGACAGGTGTAAAATGCTTTGACATCGTAGTTTTCAGTACCTGTTACCTTCCAATATAGTGGGAACCTGAAGCTGGCTTGGTACTTCAAAGTCACACGTAGCTTTTAAAGAAAAACAGGTAACAGAACCCAGATCACCTTTGGCCAAGGACAATAAGCCAATGGGTGCAAACTCATGCCCTTAGTGTGCCAGTTCACTTGTGGGAATCTAGCATTCTTCCCTAGACAGAGAATAAAACACCTTTTCCTACCTTACAAACCTCCCAACCATTGATCTTCCACTTCTCGCCCTAACCCAATTAAAGGATGAGCTTAAGCTCTGCTTCCTCATTGCAGAAGCAATGCAACCAGACACCTGACTCCCCTGTCACTGTGATGGACTATATCCTCTCAAACTGTAAGCCAAAATAAACAATTCCCTCTCCTAAAGAAGGAGAATGAGGTTACATGATTTCATAGACTGGAATGACACTGTGTATTACTCTACTGAGTCCCTGATGCTGGGACCAAACCTAAGGCCAAGTCAACATTAATGCAGTTCTATCCACACAAACCAGCCAGGGCTTGTCCTAAATACCTTGAAGAGAATTGAAAATTCATTCTTCCTTTTCTAACTTACTAATCAATGCAGGTAAGTGGCATTAATTGCGTGCAATACAATGCACCTTGCAATCTGAAGTAAATCTCAATGTTTTGCAAAACCACACACTTCCAGACCTGGGAGCATTCTCAGGTGCCTCTATTGCAAATAAAGTTTTCTAAGTAGAATGGGAGGCAGACTTTTCAGACTGGTGATTAAAGGGAATGTGTGGGCTAGAATCAGCTTGGGAGATTTGAATAACTTAAGCCACCCAGTACCTTCAAAGGTGCTGTGATTGCCATTTGGCTATATTTAGTTTTCGTTGCTTTTTGGAAGAGATGAGGCTGCTCCAGCCTGTGTCTCCCTTGGCTTTCCCCAGACACCATAAATGATGTTGGCAGCCTCCCAGCTCCACCACTCATCCAGTGAAAATCTATTCCTCCTTCTCTTGCCACGTTTAATAAACTTTATCTAGAACAATTTCTTGCGCAGTGGCAAAACACAGCACTTACATAACGAACTATTTCAAGAGCACTGTTCTCTTGGAATCAGAAGCAAAACCCCATTTCTTTAGTGCTGTGATTGAGGGAGTGGGCAACCTCCAAGAAGAAATGAGCCTTGAGGCTGAGCTGGATTATAAGAGGTGATAAGAGCCTCTGCAAAAGATGAGTACAAAAAGAAGGGCAAATCCTACCAGCTTCAGGAAACCCAGTGTCACTCTTTCTCCAGGAAAAGCCAGGGGAAGACCTATTTAAAAGGAAATTTTATGTATACGAATGTTTGCCTACATGTATTTAGTGAGTGCATTATTTACATGAGTGCAATGTCCACAGAGGCCAGAAGAGGGTTTCACATCCCCTGGAACTGGAGTTATATAGACCATTGTTAGCCACCAAGTGAGTACTGGAAACTGAACCCAGGTCTTCAACAAGAACAGCCAGTGCTCTTAACTGCAGAGCCACCTCTCCAGCCCCAGAAAGACCATTTTTTATTACTATTACTGGAAACACTGAAGGGCAAAATGATGTTCTCTAATGACAGAGTTCACCACTCTGTCATCCAGACCTACTCATTTGAGAACATATCCAGTGGAAGGGGGCCTGAAACACAACTCATCCAAATAGATCATTGCCATCCAAAAGCTACCAAGGAAGCAGAGTCCAGACCCAGCTCCAAAGAAGAAAGTCTTCAGAAAGGAAGAGTTCAAGGATCAAAGTCAAGGCAAGGTCATTCCTCCAAACTAGACCTAAACTGAGTAGCAAGATCTCAGGAGGCTAGCCAAACAAGTCAGTTGTTGAATACTTATCTCGCCAGGGATCTGATCCAAATGCAGATCCTGGTTCAAAGACCGTTGTTCAGAGAACCTGCGACTCTAACCAGCGGCTGCTTCAGCTGGTGTGTGAACCACACCTGGAGCACCAGGGCCTAGGCCAGAAGGGCCATGCCTTCCACTGGAACTGAGGCTTTTACCTAGCTGATTCTTCAGGGGCCCATGACTATGACAGTCATGTTTTCCAATACTGCTGCATCTAGTGTCAAACTGTTCAGGCTAGATGGGTAGCTCAGTGCTAAAGTGCCACGCTTAGCATGTCTGAGCCCCTGAGATCAACTTTTTGTTTTTTAAGGAAACAAAAAATAAAGGAAGCAAGGGAAGGAGGGAGAGAAGGAAGGGCTAATGACTGCATCCCTATCTACAAGACTGTCCAGGGTGGGATCTGCCATTAGGATTTTCAAAGATCTGCAAGACTACAATGTGGAGCAAGACTGAGAATTCAAATGGAGAGCTAGAGGCAGTCCCAGCACCTATACCACTGTAAAGAGAGAGCTGGGAAAGTATTGCCCAAGGCAGGGATCTTCACTGGGTTCTTGGTCTCCAGGACCAGGAAGTTGTCATGAATGTGAGATGTGAGTGTCCCACCTGCAGATGATGAGTGACATCAGCTGCCCCTCATCCCAGAGTTGATGATAAGTGAAGGACTCTCTTTATGGCTTATACTTGCTTAACTTTCAGGCTGCCTTCTACCCCTGTACAGGACTGTTGTTCAGCATGATAGGTTGAAATGAAATACTAATACTCTTAAACCATCAGTCATCAGAACTCCTGCAGAAAGGTAGACTCTTTGATAAAAGCCAGGCATGGGACAGGAGATGGTAGAGATGTTTGGCTGTGGCTGTTTATAGAGCCTATGCCCTGTGAGTGGAAGAAGGTCTGAGTCACCTGCTGGGCCTCCTGGCTGATGGCACAGCACAGACCTGGCTCTGGAGGTCTCAGCCTGCAGAACTGCCCTTTGCTGTTCATAATCCTGGGCTCTAGGAAATGGAACCACAGACCAAATAGGCCAAGCCACAAACACAACTCTGCATCCTTAGCCCCAGTGGGGATTAGAGGCCAATGAGGCTACTTCCCATCCTCCATGCCATCCTGTATGACCCAGTTCCTAAAACTAGCAGCAGTGTTTTGGCACAGAGGTCTTCCAAATTACAAAGAGGAAAGAGGCTGTTGAAAACCCCTGGTGGCCTTGGGCCATCTTGGGATTGCCTTTGTCTGAGGCAGCTAGGTTGAAGCTCCTTGGCTCCATTTTTAACATTTTTTGTTGTGGTTTTCCATTTTACAGCAGCAAAAGCAATGTTCGGAAAGTTTGACACCTTTTTTCTCTAGTAAGACTTCACTGAATATTAAATTTCCAGCATATTCTTTCTTTACTTAAGAAACAGAGTAGTTTGTCCCTGATTGACTGATCTCTTTGTATCTAACCTTTGCTGTGTTCCTGATAACTTATGTGCTAAGGTGGGAAGGAAAGGGAGAGGGCAGGTAAAACAGATCTTGCCTCATCTCAGGTCTTGATGCCAACTTCTTGGTTTTTCTTCCCTCCAGTCAAGAAAAACGAGGTGCTGGTCAGAGCGGGCGAGTACATGAGCCAGCTGCTAGAACAGGCGTTCCTGCACTTCTTCGTCACAGCACGTGTCAATGAGTCCAGAGATGTCCTAGCCAAGCAAAAGTCAATAGTGCTGACCATCCCCAAGGTCATCATCAAGGTCAGTAAGCATCCCATCTCAGTCAAGGGAGAAGGGCAAAGTGATAAACAGCCAAGCTTATCACTTCTCTCTCTCTCTCTCTCTCTCTCTCTCTCTCTCTCTCTCTCTCCTTCTCCAAACACATAATGGATCTAGGCTCCTCCTGTTCTTTGAAAGAAGCAAGCCGCCCTATATATAGTCATGTGCATGTAACACTCCTCTTCTCTCCTGATTTAAAATATATAGAAGTGAATGCAGTTATAAATATAACCTGTGGGTATAAACACACTTGTGGAGGAAGATAAAGATGTGTAATACATACAGATTCAGAACTCTCTGTGTCTTCAGAACAAAGTGGGTCAGACTTCCAGACTGCCTACATCCTCCCATCTGCATTTTTGGACAGTAACGTTGCTCACTGAGGTGTGACTGTATACAGTAGGATGTGCAAACCGAAGTGTACAGCTGGAAGGCAATAGCTGCATATACATATGCCATTATAAGCACAGCCAGATGAAAATATAGAGGCTTCTCAGCTCTCTAGAAAGTTCCTTCCTGCTTTTTCCTGTCCACAATCCCTCCTCCATCACCAAGATAACCATTTTTCTGGTTCCTTCCACCCTGAGTTCATTTTGCCTATTTGGCCAATAGCTTTAGTGGTGCCCTTTCTGTCCACAATCCCTCCTCCATCACCAAGATAACCGTTTTTCTGGTTCCTACCACCCTGAGTTCATTTTGCCTATTTGGCCAATAGCTTTAGTGGTGCCCTTTAGTGGTGCCATTGGTAAAGGCCAACCAAGGGGAATGGGACTGGAAGACAGATATGGGAGCCTGTTTCACTCGCTTCTTAGTGGCACAGGGTAGCTTCTGGTGGCATCAGTAACCAGCTTCACCCCTGAGACCCTTTCCTCCCCTAGAAGCAGAGACCAAGCATCCAGCACTCACCTTGAGGAGTAGTACCCTATGCCATTCTGATCCAGGGATTAGAGACCTTTGCCAGTGTTTGGACAGTATTCTTCTTGAAGGGACTAAGTGATTAGCATAGACCCTACTGCATTCTCTGACAGTGGTCAAAAAATCAAAGTGACCCCAGAGATTGGGCACTGGGCAGGGTGAGGGGTAGGCCTTGTTTCTTGGGAACTATTTGCTGTGAATCATTTGTAAAGCTAATGAATGTTGTGTAATATTGAAAATGGCTACTCTGACTGGGTATGTACTAAGTTCCAGCTGCCACTATCAAAATATTTTATGCGTATCATTGCAATTTCAACACACAATAACCCTTCCCAGGTAAGGAGTACAAACATTTCCACTTCACACATAAGAAAAATAAAGGAAATAGGGGCGGTAAAACCCACGCATGATCATACAGACATCAAGAGGTAGAGCTGGGTCTCCAACCCCAGCAGTCTGCCTACAGAGGTAAGGTGAGAACTGGCTCCCTCCACTGCTTTACAACGTCTGGTCCTGTGAGGATGGCATATGAATCACCTCAAAATGAGGCTCACCTGAACTTGAGGATGTGTAGTGTCCATTTGAGGAACAGAATACTAGGCCCTCTATCTTTAAGGAGGCCTATGCTGTCATAGCTCTTTGGTTCTTTTACTACAATCACTTCACATAGACCTACTGTGGTTGATACAGTCTGAACAACAGGCCTTAAGAGGCAGAATACAAATGAAGATGAATGCACAGGCTGAGGGAGAATCAGAATTGTGTAGGCAAAGTAAGAAACAAATGCTAGACAGGGAAGCAGACACCAGAGTTACTCCAAGGATGCTGTTGTATCATGATGATATGGATTTAATGGCACAGGCACAGGGGTCACAGTATCAGGAGTCACACTGAGTCTTCTTTGGGTCATGCACTGGGCCTGCAGTTCTCCCCTGGTTACACAGGAAAGACGTCTTTTGCTGTTCTTAGGGAGGATGTTAAGCAGGGTCTAGACCTATGCTGAACACTGAGCCTTTCCCACCAGAGACTGACCTCCCCTGCTCATCTCATTATGAAGTGATGGCTTGTTCCTGCCAAGATCTCAGGAGAAACCTTTCTAAGCTGTGAAGTGCTCAGGCCTCAGCACAAAAAAAGAAATTAATTGCACCACTGATAATAAACTAGATGTATAGAGGAAAGGGATATCTTTGATCTTTTTAGGTATTATTAATTAGAAGGGTAATTTGTTGGCTATCTTCTGGGTTTCCTTAAAGAGCAGTTGACCTCCCCAAGGTAGAATCAGAAATGTCTCATCCCAGAAATTAACAGACCTGGGCAGTATTTGAAAGAGTTTGGTTGAGTTGATTTGGTTTGGTTTGGTTTGGTCTCCATGAAGGAAGCAGGAATGCTAGTTCTAGAGGAAGCTTACTCAGAGTCAAGGCCATTGACTGAGATTGAAGAATGAGACAGAAGGAAATTCTGGATTCTATACAATGTTAAGTCTGCTCAGAAAAGGTATAGATGAAGGATAAACTAAATCCAAATAGGGGGAGAGATATGCCAGGGGAGCGCACTCTATACCCTAATGCCACTTAGGTGTCACCAGAGAAGGGCCCTGATTCCAGAAACCATAGGTAGTATCGAGGGTACCTCGGACACTGGAGACATGGAAAACAGCCATGGTCTTCAGATGTCGGTGCTCACCTTGGAAGTAGTGAGAAAAGCAGGGGAAAGGGACTTGTGGAGGAGAAGGGAGTGGAGAGGATGTTGAGATGAAATATTTCATGGGAAGGCTCAGGAAATCAAGTCACATAAATGGCACAAAACAAGTATTGGAAAGGGAGCAAAATGCACTAAAATTAAAAAACCCATAATGGCTCAAAACCCACGGGTCCAGAATCACTTAGGACATGTGACCCCAGATACTAAGAAAATGCTAGAATCTGTTTCCATAGCTTTGATCCTGGGATGGGATCACTGGAGACTGAACCTCTCACAGTGTCTGTGCATGAATATGCCAGGTGCAGGGTAAACCTTGAGAAAGGAAATTAGGAGGACAGGACCTTCCTACCTTCCTTCTGTAGACAGGAGGTAGTAAAAGGCCAGGGTGGCTCTGAGCAGTGACAACAGCTGAGTCATTAAGCACTGGATTGCTGAGGGCACTCCTTCTATTGTCTGAAATTCATTACTTGAGAGTATAGTGATCAAAACATGAACCCTGTAACCAAACTTCCTGGGTTCAAAGCTGTTTCCTCAGCATAACTGTACAACCCTGCCAAGTCATTGAGCCTCTCTGAGATTCTGTTTTCTTATTGCACTGGTAAAGGCAGTAGCAATTCTCACTTCAGAGAGTTTTTACATTAATTGAGCCAAGGATGCCTGATGCCCAGGTCACAACAAACAGCTACTGTATGCCACTGGCTCTTACTGCAGTTGCTTCTCTTCCTAATTGGCCCATGATCACACCTGATGGGGGAAGAAGGCCAGCAGCTCTAGCCCAGGTCTTTCTTGATATGCAGGTAACCTCTGGGCCACGTTGCTCTCACACCAGGACCTGCACAGGAAGCAAGAGTAGTGTGAATCTTAGCAGAAAAGTTTGTGTGTTGCAAAGGTGGGGGAGGTAACAATTTTAACAAAGTATAAGAATTAAAACCAGAAGGATAAGCTAGCTTCAATGAATGGTTATCACTCAACTAGCAGAGGACAGAGAAACCATTCCAGATACTGGAGAAAGGCATGAGCTGGGGCAGGGGAAGGAGGCAGTAGGTTGGGAGGCAATAGGAAGCAGCATTGTTTAAATAGAGGTTGGGAGCCAGTGAGAGTGAGGGTACCCCCAGAAAGACACTTAGGCCCAATTTGAGGTGAGTCTAGAATGTGTGGATGAGGCTTTGTAATTGACTCCATGGATAAAAAGGCTTCAGGGAAGACTCTAGAGCAAGGCTATTATATGATAGACACTGCTCCGCCCCCAAGACTTTCTCTATGGAGTCTTTGCTCAAAGCATTGCCTTTTGGGCCTCTCCAGCTCCTCTCTGAGAATGAAGTTGCCTAGAAGCTGGAATCCAGTTGTTCTTGTCTATCTCTCTTTCTACAGAAAATCTAGACCAACTCAGATGATCACGGTCCCATCCATGACTCCAACTCACCATCGACTATAGCACAGAGGCCAGTGGCCTCAGTTCTTTACATCCCGATGTGCCCGCCCACCTGGGGTTTCATTCATTCCCATGCCCATACAGATTGGATTTGAGTTAAATTTGTTCCCATTTAACTATTCCCAGCACCCACCATGCGTGAGTCACAGTTGGAGATCTTCACATGGAAAACGGCAGGGAGAGACATTCATTAAACTTTAATGAGCACACATCTCTTCTCTCATGCTATCAAAATATTTTGATGAGAAAAGTATATTTTATTAAAAGCAGACATGGAATTTTTCTCTGCCTTCCTATGTGTTGATTGTCAAAAGCTGCTTTAAGTCAGGAAAAAAAGGCTCTCCAGCATTTTAATTGTTAATGAACAGCTGGGTTTTTTTTGTAGATGGGCCACTGAGGGAATCAAACTGGTCTCCAGACTACACATGGGTTTATCTGAGGCCTGTGGCCCACAATACAGGAACAGTGATCTAATGGGGTTCTCCTGTACTCAGTTACCCATGAGGGTTTGGTGGTTCTCATATACTTGTGAAAAGCAGCTGCAGCAAATTGTCCAAGAGAGGCAGCAACAGTCCTGTGTAGAGAATCAGAAAAACACAGGACCAGGGCAAGCCTCCAGGTTCACACTCCTATCTGGGAAGCATTAAATTAACACGGCTTCATAGGTAAAATGGGACCACTAATAATAGATCATGTGAGAAATGACATTATTGACCTTCTGAAGAAAAACAGGGACCTTCCACAGAGCGGACCTCCTCCTAGCCAACATTAATACTTAGGTGGGCTATGTCCATCTGGGCTGGGAGAGACAAGTCAAAACCTGCTGTCCCCTTCAGAGGCTCCTTTCCTACCCAGCCCAGGAATGTCATGGTACTACCATATGTCCAGATCTTGTCTAGTAGTAGACATTAGCATGGCTTGTCCTAACAATGGT